CCGGGGGAGGGAGCAGGACTTTCCGGTGAGGAAGCAGTTATTTTGATTGCTACTTTTTGGCCCTTTAAGCATGCCTTGTTTGACCCATTGTAAAAGGAGAAGTAGAAGGAACCAGGACGCCTTGTATGCCACTGCATATATTTCCCCATTATCACTAGAAATTAACCAGAAGAATAATGTAGAAAGAAATAAAATAATTCAACCAAATTTCAAGAAAACAAGTTTTTCTGCTACTTTTTGCTACAAAATATATGAAACATATACAAAAACTTTAAATTTTTCGTCAACATAATATTTTTTTTGTTGTACCAAAATGAATTTTATAGCTTTTTTAGCTATTCTGGTTTAATTAGATGATATGAGTCCATGACACAAGTACTACAAGCTGGTACTCGTGCGCGAAATCACAAAACAGACCCATTAGCATTATTAAGATGATTATAGTTGGACTGAAAGGTGAAGAGGGTTTAGACCCTTTCTTCTTATTCGAGAGTAATCAATTTTCGTCTTTTCGAATTCGCCAAATTCGAAAGTTTTTTAACAATAACTAATTACTCCATAAAAGATACTCACTCTGTTCTTGATTATATGTATTATTATATGTAGGTTTTGGCACGAGTTTTAAAAGGAAAATAGTAAGGTCACTGTAGGAGGTACAATGTGAATTGTGGGTAAATGAAAAAAAGTAGGAAAGAGATAGGGGTACAAAGATATTTTGATTGAAAAAAATTTCAGGAAAGATTGGCAAATAATTAAAAACTTTATTTAGTAACTTTATTTTGAATAACTTTATTTCAATTTAAAATGAATACAAATTTAATGCATTTGCGCTTTGGTGCTATGTTATCCATTATTAAAGGAGAAAAAAGAAGGGATAAGGGTCAGATAGGGCCTCAAACTCGAAAAAAAATGTCAAATAAGGTCATATTTTGGATGCTCTGTCTGGCCGATGCCATTTGGGGCGGTTCCCGATGGAATTTTTTGATGAAATTTTTTGAGCATCTTCCTCATTAAGTCTAGTTTACTCATACCAAATTTCAGCTAAAAACTCAATCGGGAAGGTAGTCAAATGAGTTTTTGAAGATAACTGTGAAGTTAAACAACGCCGTACATTTCGGAAAATTATTTGACTACCTTCCCGGTTGAATTTTTAGCTGAAATTTGGTATGGATAAACTAGACTTAATGAGGAAGATGCTCAAAAAATTTCATTAAAAAATTCCATCGGGAACCGCCCCAAATGGCGTCGGTCAGACAGAGCATCCGAAATATGACCTTATTTGACATTTTTTTTCGAGTTCGAGGCCCTATCTGACCCTTATCTGACCCTTAATGATTAAGTCTAAATGTTTAAATGCAAGAATAAAACTTCAATGCCATTGCAGTAGAAGATGAAGACCAGAGCTTACTGTCCAATTTCTGGAGTCAGATTTGGTAAGAAGAGTAGCCTGAGAGAAATTGCAGGCATTGAAAGCATCCAGGTTCTGGAAAATGTAGACATTGAACTCATACTTGTCCTGGAAAACTGACATTTGAAGAGAAAAGAAACAGAAAGAACAAATTAAATGCGAATGATAAGACCAGGTTATAGGAAAGATGGAGAAGAAACATACTGATGGAGTCTCCCACATGAACTGTTGCGTTTTTTCGCTCTGGAAGTAAACCCCTATCAACCACTATAGTAGCTGACTCAGAAAGCTGAATGGCAGAAGTGAAGCAGAACAGCAAGGAGAAGAACAGCACCGGTGAAGTCGAAACTCCCATTAGAAAAACTAAGACCAGAGAGGAAACTTAGGAAGAAGTGAGCTTAGAGAGTGAAGTTTTCTTTTGCTTTTTGGCTGTAAGATTGATTCCAAGAGTGAAGATGCAGAGAAAAAGAAAGAGAGGTCACAGAAAAGTGTGGCTTTTCACAGAGAAAGAGAAGAAAAGATAAAAGGGAAAGCAGGGGTGAAGTTAAATTATTGTCAGTCGTGTTTGGGCTTTTCACAGTAAAAGTTTGAAACTTTGAATACCTGACGTTGTTGGGCTTGCTTTGTAAACATAAACTATAGGGAATACAAATTATCAACTTCATTAAAAGAGTAATTCATGATTTTAATTTAGTACTTTATTATTTTATTTTTAATTAGTGTGGATTTCAACACTCCTCAATATAATCAGACATTTTATTTGGATTTGATTGATAGAAGGAATAGTTTAAAAAATTAATATAACACTTTATTATTTCAAGTGCTATATTCAAGAAATCAATATTCATGTCACAAAACTTTCTTGATAAGCTTTGAGCAATGTTCTAAAAAGAGCTAAAAGACAACGCAAGAGCGGGCCTAGGCGCAAGGCGAGGTCAAAACGCCTCACATGTTTATAAAGTCACTATTTTTTATATTTGAACTTGATTTTCCCCATGGGACGAGTAGATCCACCCGCCCATTTACGTAAACACATAAAGGAGTTGTTTGGAACTGGTTCTGTTTCTATTTCATTTTTAAAAGCAAAAGCAGAATTAAAAACATTTTTCAGAAGATGGTTCCCTCCAATTTCTAAAAAACTGCTTCTAAGAGTAATTTGGAGCACCCAAAAGTAGTTCTGGACTTGCACGCAAACACTGCAATATTTGCTTCTTTTCCCTTAAAGAGTAGAAATAGTTTTAAGAAACAGATCCAAACATGAAACACCTCAAAGTCATAGTCCCGGTTGCATTCTCCCTCATGTTTGCTAAGAAATGACCGTGTTATACAGCAAGGTAGAAGAAGAGTCATTCGCTCTCTCTAGTGTGGAAAAATAAGTTGTGAGTATTAAGTATTTGGAATAAAAAACATTAGAGGGGCATAAAAAGTTTGTATGAATTTGGTATTTTTAATACTTCTTTTTTAGTATTATACTACGTATCATAGTTATTCTAAGTTTCTAACCATTGGAAAATAACTATCATCACTTTTTTTATATTATACTTTCATTACTAATATAATTTTCGTTGTTATATCATTAATATCATTAATATTATTATTATTATTATTATTATTACTATTATTGGTATTATTATTATTATTATTAATATTATTAATATTATTATTATTATTATTACTATTACTACTACTGCTATCATTACTAGTACTACTATTATTATTGTTTGTACTGCGCACATCATTGTTTTACCAATTCACTACCATACCAATTCTTGCTTTTGTAAATTGGGTGCGCATACATAACATATATGGCTTTTAGAACTTAAAATCTTAATTTATGTTTGAATATGTAAAAGTATAATGTTTTTGCATGTGAAAACAACCCCTCAGGAGAGAAACAAGAAGGATATCAGATCATAGATTAGAAGAATTGCACGGATCCTAAAAGTCATCAAATCTTGATTGAAACGGATGGCACTTGAGCGGTATTTTCGAAAAAGATGGTTCTTAAATATGCCGCTAAATATGCAAGAAATACAGGTGCAATGACAAAATCCCAAAAAAATCACAATTACTAAAGATGCAATTCAAAAAGGGGGGAGTTTTAAAAAACAGTGGTAGTCCTTGAGATAAATGAAAAGCGCTGAAGATTGTAGGGTAAATAGAGGAACATCAAGGATTGTGGGTGGTTGGATAAATTGTACACTAAAATTTTTGTATGTGTGCATGAAAGAGTGGGGTGTACGTTTTGCGCACAAAATAATAGTGTGGCTCATGATGTAATTGTGCAAATTAACTCGGTGTGTTGTGCTGTTTAAAAAAATTGAAATTCTAATGGGCAAGAAGAAAAATTACAGAAGGGGCGGTAATTTAATTTACGTTCCATTAAGGGAGTATATTAATGTGTGATAGTAACTAGTAAGTGTGGGTTTCGAATGTAAATTGTGCAGAAATTTGCTCATGTGAAAGTGTGCAACAGCCTGCTGTGCGAAAGAAGCATGGCTCCAATATATTATCTGCATGAACACACTAGATTTATCTTCAAAATTAGTGCACCAATTCTGCCCGTAAGATTATAAACTTAACCAAGATTATTCTACCATATGATCATAAGATTCCTCATCATCTAGGTCGAGATCCGCAAGCAACTCCTCCAATGGAACAGAAGGAACTCCCTCGGCATCAGCCATTTCCGATGGAGATGGCCGGTGCTCCTTATTCCGGTACAGTGAAAGATTGAATCTCAAATCAGGATTATCCTCAATATCTCTCAAAAACTGTTGATACTCTGCGTTAATCTTCTCCTTTGCACCTTCATCGACCTCCATTTTGAGAGACTTGAACTTCCACGGACGAGACTTCCTCTGCCTCTTCTCTTCATAGCTCTTCTTGATCAGTATCACATCCGGGATATTCATTCTACTTTTGTATTTGTCGAGTTCCATATCATTACTATTGGAACCATAAAGGTCATACCCAAGAGCATAGTCCCCGGGGCTTAAGAGATTCCCCAAATGTGTTCTCACAGTGAAATACCTATCGTTCTTCCCAAAATCCGACACACGAGCAACATGAGCATCAGCCAGAGTGTATGTTGAGATCACTTCAGAAGAAATCGGCTCAAGATCTAAAACTCTATATTCTATAAGCAGCCTGCTAGACAATAAGGGCTGCAACGATAATCTCTGATGCTTCTCAGCATCTAGGCAGCATTGCCTAAGGGTGAGTGGATCTAACAGAGATATGTTACTGCTTACCTTGTGGCATATCACTAGCGGCCCGAGATATCCCAAACTAGCAGCAACTCTAGGCGGGAGGCAGATGAGATCTTCACGACAAACAGGGCTGATTTCGACAGAGATGGCATACTTCAAATTGGAGACATTGCTCTTTGTGTCGTGGGACACGAGTTTGTGGTTACTCTCATCACGTCTAATTACTGGAGCTACTTTACCGATGAACTCAGCAAATTTCTGAGCGTGACTTCTATTACCGAAGAAGAAATCAACACCCTGATCCATCTGCTTAATTCTAATGGCATCGCTCGCGGCATTGTGTTTGAGGATAAGCTGCTCCAGGTAGAAAAATGTGCGACTGTGAGAAACATTCTGCCGCAGCTGCACTATGGCAACCCACTGATCTTGATTGGCATGAACCTTAGCACAGGAGTCACAATGCAGATATTGCACAACAAACTCTATTGTGTAAGCTTGTTCGAGTATTGCTCCATGAAGAACCTCTTTTTGGACCCTCAACTTGATTTTAATCCTCTTGGAATGAGGTTCAGTCCAGATAAATTCAGCATGCACTAAATGGACTGCGTTCAGATTAGTCAGCCTCTTCACACAGAAGGTGAGCAGCTCTTTCGACTCGAGTGGTGCTTTGATCCAAGACCTTGGCGGTTGCAAGTAGCACTCGCATTGAGGGCAATAGCGGATGATAACGTGCTTCTGAAGGCCTTCTGTTATGTCAACTTCAGAGCAGAGGCAGTTGGCACACATATTTGCCACATTTGGTTGCATTGAGATGCCACACTTGCAACATAACACACTGCCGATGGTCTGTGGCACAGTAAACATACCTGCTACTGCCATTGATGGCTACATAAACAATGCACAATATGATGCAGTATTAGTTAAAAAATCAAAAAATTGAAGCTTTGTAGATTATAGCTTATGGGAACTCAATAAAAATCACTCCACAGGAAACCTCCATTACGAAGTACATGTTTTTAAATCAAAGTCAAGCCCTTACCGGAAAAGCAAAACAACTTTAACTCAATACACATACCAGACGGCTAAGTATGCATTCAAAATCAGATCAGATTAAATAAACACCCAATTAAAACCCATAGAATATTTAAGCAGGCTTGACCACCACATACATACACGATACATTAATGTGTTCCAGTAAATTTTGATAGAGTTGTAAAAGGCAATAAAGCATTACAACATGCAAGCTATAATCCAAATGCTGCAACAGCAACATATAAAACTTGAGCTTGCTGCTTGCACACAGCTTAATCAGCAACCAACTAATTCCAACACACAACAACTTGACCAAAATGAAGTAATCCACCATTACTGCTGAAACAAGAAGAGCACGTAGAATAAGCTATTACTAAAATTTCCCCTAGGAAACTCCAAAAGCTGCGAATCATATATTCAGGATCAAAATCTATTAATATACAAAAGCAAAAGATATACACCTTATTTCCACAACTCATGAATAAAATGAATAAATTTGTAATTGTAATAAACATCTATCAAAAGAATCTTTATACATATAAAAACTGGACTGTGTGGAATACAACCGTTCCCACCTAGCATTTACAGTGCACATGTGTCACAAGCTGATTACATATTAAAGTTATTAAAGCAACATCTGCAAGTACAAAATAACCAAGTGGCAATCTTACTAGCAAAGAATGTGCAAGAATGGTGTCCGTGTCTCCCATGCGTAGATGATTTCAATGTCTTAATTTAACACATAGAAAACTAAGATATTGTGATCAGGTTTGTTTACTAAAAATGCATTTTCAAAATAATAACGTGTTATCACATACACATTACATCTTTATTTCTAAAAATAATACTATACACTTCAAGCATGCATTTATTTTTTTAATTTTTTACTCCAGGGGGCGTCTGGGGAAGGGGGCCTGGAGTAATCAGGGCTGAAAGCTGAAACTCACTCCATTGAGTTTCGAACCCGAGACCTCCTGTAAGGGAGAGTGAGTCGGCGACCAGCTGGGCTGGACTGCTTCCTCTCAAGCGTGCATTTACTTATCAATAGTGAATATTGTGATAATGATTTTTACAAATGGCTAGATACAAAGTCAAGATCTGCATTATGGACATTACTGGAAAATGCAACATTTATCCTTGGATAATGCATGTCAAAGATCTTTTTAAAAGAAGAAGCTGAATTTGTTAAAATCTGGTACAAAAAGATAAACGTTTTCATTACATAGAGTAGTTCACTTGAGGGTTTTAAAGCATTTATGACTAAACAGACAAAGAATAATTGGTTTCCTATAGACATGGATTTGATATAAGAAAAAGTTATGTGCTTAGCTCAAGTTCAAAATGATAGTTCAAACAAAAGGTTCAAAGAAAGGTGACTTTACTTTAACATTCTAAAACTTAAACTAGATGAAGAATTTGTTTCCAAATGGAGAGACAGACATCCCATGTCAAGGTTAGGAAAGAAAATGGGGAGATATATATCCCATGTTAAGGCCAGTATGTACGCACTCTTATGTACTCTTTTTTGTTAAGAAGTACTAATGCATCTTACATTTTGGATCAAATCTTAGAATTCAATTTCCTATCATGATGAGGGGAGTGAGCAACAGGGAAGGGATAAATTCTGAGCATATTGACTTTACTCTACAAGGTCGCGTTTTAGGAGTGGAAAAGCTTCCAAACTGGACCGTGAAACACTAAAAGGAATAGAAAAGAGAACAAGGGAAGTTGTATGTGTGAAAATAGAGAAAAGCTAAAAGCATGATTTGTATAGTTTACTTAAGCTAGTAATTAAAAATTAAAATAGTGCATCATTAGGTAAATTATGTGAATTATGTGAATTCTTTAAATATATAAATAGATTGTTATTATTGTTAGATTATTATCCTCTTCTTTTCATTTTTATTCCTATCAGATTTTGATAGAAAGATTTGTTGATAGGATAAGTTAGAAAAAAAGGGAATATGACTAAAACTAGATTTGTTGATAGGATAAGTTAGAAAAAAAGGGAATATGACTAAAACTTAATGAGTTTCTCAATCTATCACCTTAGTAGTTTTCTTCCCAAAATAATTATAAAATTCATAATATTTAATAAAAATTCGTAATTAATAAAAAATAAATAATTTTGGAGGACAAATATAACCTTTAGCTTATACCTATAAAGAGAGCTCTTCTCATCAGGCCGGCCTGACGGGCTGCCCCTTCCGGCCGAGCCCGTTTGGGCATCTTCCCGGTGGAATTTTTTGATGAAATTTTTTTAGCATGTTCCTCATCAAGTCTAGTTTGTCCATACCAAATTTCAGCTCAAAATTCGATCGGGAAGGTCGTCAAATGATTTTTGCAAGTTAACTGGTCCGAAAAATACATATTCCGGACCAGTTAACTTGCAAAAATCATTTGACGACCTTCCCGATCGAATTTTGAGCTGAAATTTGGTATGGACAAACTAGACTTGATGAGGAACATGCTAAAAAAATTTCATCAAAAAATTCCACCGGGAAGATGCCCAAACGGGCTCGGCCGGACGGGGCAGCCCGTCAGGCCGGCCTGATGAGATGATTTCTCTACCTATAAAATCCTAATCTTGTTCTCTATTTTTACAACCCTAGCTACACCTCCTAACGCCCACCCACGTACAACCACCAGCCGTCTAGCCACCACCCGCAGTCGTCCAGCGCCGCTCCTTCCACAAAGAGCACAGTCACCTTTTGTCCAGATGCCTGCCACCGCCTACCAGTCGTTCACAGGGCGATTTCTTTCACGCTGGAGATCCAGATTTGTCCAACCAAATTGGGGATCGAAACTTGGGCGGCACGAGAGAACCGCTCGATGGATTACGTATGAAGGGAGGACTTGACTGGAGATGGAGCTCCAGTCCGTGTGTCATGCGGCAACTTCGACCCTGGCTGCAAAAGAGAGCGTCCATGGTGCGGCGAGTATTCTAGGAGTTTGCTTGGAGCGATTCAAAAAACACAATCAATTTCAGACCTCTGCAACAACAAAATGGGAGAATATGGGTCTTCTTCAAGGCGAGAGGAATGCCCTGTGACACAGATTGCTTTTGAGAGTAATTGCAACAACAAAATGGGAGAATATGGGTCTTCTTCAAGGCGAGAGGAATGCCCTGTGACACAGATTGCTTTTGAGAGTAATTTTTGTATTGAGAGTTGAAATTGAAATTGTTTTTTGTATGGAGAGTATTTTTTTTTTCAATTTAGAATTATAAATTGGTCTGATGTATGGAGAGTATTGTTGAAAACTTGGAACACGCACTTCGCACTACCTCAATTTTCTTCTTCCCCTTTATGAATTTCTTGGGCAGTGAATATGTGCTATGAAAATGGGCATTGGACATCTTAACGAATGCATTAAGAAAATTTGTTGTGCAGTGATTATGTCCAGCAGAGCCATTAACACAGCGCAATAATGCCGTCATGAAATGCAATATATTTGATTAGATGTAAAATAATAAAATTATTAAATCTAAAAAATAAAAAAATAAAAACTACAAATAAATTCCAAAAGTGTATGAGAAAAGAATTAATTTTGGCGGAAGTGCAGTGATTATTATCGCATGTGCAGTAATGTTGCGCAGTAATGTCGTGTATTAACGGCAATATAAAATGCAGTAATTTTAATTGGACGAAATTAGTGTAAAATGCACAAATTTTAAATAAGGGTATTTTTGTCATTCAACATTTAAATATAAACGAAATTATCTCTTTTTTTGGGATTTTCGGTCATAGAAAAGTCAAAAAACATAGTTAGTCATAGGGCTGGGCACGGGCCGGGTCGGGGCGGGTAATGCAAAATAAAATGGAACCGCCGGTTCCATTGTACGGTCCGGTCCGGTCCGGGTATTACAATTTTCAAAATAGGAACCGGAAATTGCCCGGCCCGTTTGAAACAGGTCGGTCCGGTCCGGGTTTTACGGTTTCTATTCTCATGTCTTGAAATTAGTAAAAACTCATGAAGTTCCAAAAATCAATAATCAATAATATAGGACATTAGCAAGTTTCAAAATAACAACATAGTGGTGCACATGTAATACAAGCGACAAGTCCAATACTCCATAATTTCATGTATATAAGTTTCAAACAATTAAAGAAATTCCAAAAATATGCAACCTAGTCAACATACATATTTTCTAACATTTGTATTTAAACATGTTGTCTAAATCACATATTCAAGTGATTGCTTTTTTTTAATATTAAATTTTCAGTATTAGCCAAAGTTGACACATACATGGTGGGTGGTAAACACAATTTATATATTTTAAGAACAATATAATAAAAAATATAACAAAATCATTTTTAACAAATAATTAAATTCCATTGAAAGGAATAATTTAATAACAATAAAAACTAATAAGATATTTATGAAACATTTACTCAATAATTTGAAAACAAAAGGATGTTACTCCAACTCAATTTAATATATTATCACAAAACTATTTCAAAACCGATTATCACAAAACTATTAATAAATTAATATACAATATATATAACGGGCCGGGTACCCGTTATTTTTTAATTTTGGAACCGGTCCGGTTCCTTAAAAAAAATTACCCGACCCTACCCGGACCGTTTTATGGCAACAAAAAATGGAACCGGCCCGTTTTGGACCCGAACCGCCATTACCCGGACCGGACCGCGGTTCCAAGACCCGTTTGCCCACTCCTAGTTAGTCATATTTAGAGAAACTCAATGAGGATGTTTTTACTTGGACTCTTTTGATTCCTATACCAGATTTAAACAGACCAGGCCAGACTTAAACAGACCAGGTCAGAGTTCCGTAGTTATAAATGGGTAACTACGAAAACAATAAACGGAAGGGAAAACTAAATGACTAGTTTTTTAAATGGGTAACTACGGGAAGACCAGGTCAGAGCTTCATACGAAAACACGGTCCTAATGCATAAATGGAAATTAAAAACTCAATCTTCATACAATTGACAATAAAAATACAAAATCAATATATATATATAAAAGAGGAACTTTTTAAGAGCATACGGCGCGCCACATAATCTTGCCATGTCATCATATATTAAAATTATTTATACATTTTATTGTTTTTATTACATTCTATTTTTATTGTATATTGATATGGAAACAAAAGATCGTATGATAGAATCCACTTTATTTGGTAACTTTTTCAGAATCTACTACTTACTCCGTATTAATATGGATATTTATTAAAATATATATAAAAGAGGAATTTTAAGAGCATCTGACGTGCCACATAATCCTGCCATGTCATCATATATAACAATTATTTAATTACTATTTATACCTTTTTTATTACATTCTATTTTTTATTACATATTGATATGAAAACAAAAGACTATCGTGTATGATAAAATCCACCTTATTTGGTAACTTTTTCAGAATCTACTACTTACTCCGTAGTAATATGGATTGTTATTAAAATAAGCAATTATTGCAACCACAACAATAAATAGTCATCCGTGCACATAGACTTTAATTAATTTAACTATTTTTATACTTTTATTTTTATTACATTCTATTGAGAAGTGAATTATCCGTGCTTTGCGCACCTAACAAATAAATCATCCAAGTTCCTATCAATTTTGTTCTTCAAAGTTATTTTATAAATAAAGTAATAATAGTGTTCCATTTCCTAAAAAGTACGGAGTAATATTTTATTTTTCTAAACTCAATTTTTTGAATGTTTTCTAAACTCAATGTGATAATGACTAAAGTTATCAGACTTATATTTGCAATTGTGTTAATACTTCGTATTTTTCTGCATCATCATACCATTCTTTCTTAATGATTGAGATAATGTTGAAAATTATAACCACACGATTGTTTATCTTAAAAATGAAATTGATATATACTATTAGACATTCATATATGAAAATATTTAAAACTTCTGATCAAGTATCTTACCTTTATGAGGATGGAAATGGAAATTCATATCATACATATATGAATACGTTTAGCCCAGCAAAAAAAGTAAACATGTTTAGTTGTTTCTTTATTTTTACAACTACAATTTAGATTTTCCTTCACTTTTGACATAGATTCCTAATCTAAATTAGAAAATCTTCATACATTTAGGGTGTTTTTAATTGGACTGGTTCCAGTCTTAGACAAGATTAGATCAAATAAATATCTATTATTATTATTATTATTATTATTATTATTATTATTAGTATTAGTATTCTTATTCTTATTATTATTATTATTAGTATTCTTATTATTAGTATTCTTATTATTATTATTATTATTATTATTATTATTATTATTATTATTATTATTATTATTATTATTATTATTATTATTATTATTATTATTATTATTATTATTATTATTATTATTATTATTATTATTATTATTATTATTATTACTATTATTATTATACATAAAATACACATCTTCCAGACTAAGTTAGAAATGAACATATCAATCTAATTAAAAATATTCTTATTAATGACATTTTCAATGTGACGAAATAAATGAGTAAATTGTAAAAATGATCCCTTTTTTACATTTCAATGTGACAAAATAATGAGTACAATGTAAGAGCTCACTAATAAATTTACAAATACTTATTTCATACCACATGTTGAATGAGAAATATTTGAAAATAGTTTTTTAGATGCTTAATGAAGTAATATAGAGGATGTGAAATTAATGAAGAAACTTTTGTATGAATTCTTTAAAACCGGGTTCATAACCATTATGTTTTGTTGAGATGCTTATGTAGAAGTCCAATTTAAATATTTTTCACATATATTTGAATTACTTTTATTAATTATATATGATTTCGAAAATATCAAATATACAGTTAGCTAAATTATGTACTACCCGTGCATCGCACGGGCTTGAAAGCTAGTCGAAAAATAAAAGAACAGAAAAAGAACGAACATCAACAATACCCTCTAAGCTTGATATATTTACTGCTGATATAGATGAAATCCATTTAGAAGAACAAAAAATACAACATTCTAAAAAATAAGGAAATAGATAGTAGTGAAACGACCAACCTCAGGGTATTGCACGAATGGCGCACCGGAGGCTTCGTCTGACCTGAGCGGAGACGATGGAGAATAGATATTGGGTGGTGTTTAGGTGTTTATAGCGTGAATGGTGAGGGTGGAAACGGAGAGGAAGAACTGGGGAGGCGGAAAGAGATGTGAGGTGATTGCCAGACGGCGGCGACGGGGATGTACGGAGTGTCATAGTAATATTGGGCCGAACATGATATAGGCCAAACCTTATATGGGCGGGCCATCTTCATTTTACTTAAATTAGTCAATAAAAACAATCTATTTATTAATTAATTAAATATTATGAATTTAAATATTATTTTGGGGAAAATCTAATGAGGTCATAGATTGAGAAAGTGGATGAGTTTTAGTCATATCTAGGATAATTTTCTCAAATAAAAATGGATTGTTCGTCCAAATGAACGATACATTTCCCGGGTGAATTTCTTTAACCTTGTTTTTAGGCGGATTTGAAATGGGTTGGCCCCAATATTGTTTTTAGTGTTTATGGATTTTGAGATAATAGTTAAATAAATATGGGTAATTTTATACACAGTCTCCAGTTTACTAATCACAACCACAAAATCGTGGATTAATAAATTAATTAAATATACTAGAGGTGTATGTCCGCCATCGATCTCGGTGGAGGAATGATGTTTCTTATTCTCCGATTTCGGGTGGTGTTCAGAGAGGTGATCGAAGGAAGGGACAGTGACGAAGTCAGGCTTTTGTGGTTTGGAGGATGGAGTTTTGGAAGTTCGGGGCGGAGATTGAAATGTAACGGCCGATTGAGGTTCGTGCACGTCTAACTGCTTCGGTCCAAAAGAGATCGAAGGCGGACTCGAACGAGGTCGGAGAGCGTTTGCATGGAACAAGTGGTGAATCTATAAGAATTCGAAGATGCAGATAGGCGAGGACGTGGAGGAATTGGATCTGGATGATGGTGAACTAGATGATGTCTCCCAGCAGAGAAGGTTCAGTCGACCTGCCCGGTGGTCGGAGTTTTGCTGACAGACAGGAGAATCAAATTTCCAGTGTTCAAAGAGCTTACGACATCGCCGTGGAGGCCGGGAAAGGGTGTAGCGATAAAAGAAGTTAGTGATAAGAGGTATCTCTTTACTTTTTATAATCATGTTGATACGAAACGAGTGTTTGATGGTGGTCCATGGTAGTTTGAGAGGAATTTGTTGATCTTGAGAGAAATTAAACCAAATGATATTCCACATAAGATCTGTTTGAATGAGGTTGAGTTTTGGGTACAAGTGCATAATGTCCCGTGTAGCTTAATGAATTTAAGTACAGCAAGATGGGTGGATAATTTTATCGAAAAATTCATTAGTTATGATGATAAACAATTTGGAGGAAAATGGGAATCCTATCTGCGCGCTAGGGTCTGTATGAATGTTAATAAGCCCTTGAAAAAAGGCAATACTCTTAAGATAGAAGGTATCGGGCATTGGGTGGATTTTAAGTATTAGAGACTGCCAAATTTTTGTTTTGCCTGCGGAATCATAGGTCACTCTGAAAAAAAATTGTCTGTTGGCGTATGAAGAAGATCGAGTGCTGGAAAAAAGGTTTGGAGTACAACTCAGAGTAGGTTGCGGGGTGAAAACTAGCCCTACAGGAAGGAGTAAATGGCTAGTGGACAGGTCCTCGAGCTCAAGCCAGGGTCCTCGGAACAAGGAGGAGAATAAATCAGACGTAAGGATGGACAGAGGGATGGAATACACAGCAGGTTCAGTTAGCAGCTCGACCAAAGATGTGGTCTTGAGAGTTAAGGAGGAGGCAACGGGGAACAAAAACGCAGGCGCATCTGGTAGGCGGTTTTAAAAGAGAACCCGGTAGGAGTAGTATGACACTGAAAGGGACAAAACACGGGAGGAGGCGGGCTTAGATGGGTAAGCCCGCCATCATCAACATTGCAGAGGGCAGTGTCGGGGAGTTTGAAGATAGTGGTTCTTAGAAGACTAGGTGACGACTTTTACGTTTTTGCTTTTATTTAATTTAACTTTTTTGTAGGAGACCATATAGACCATTTTTTGCTTTTATTTATTTTAATGGTGTGATGGTGTTAGTTTATGTTTACTTTTTTTTATTTCGGTCTCTGGATTTGGTTTTGGATGTGGGTGATGAATTGGCTGAGATGACCGTTTTTGGCTCATTTGTGCTCATAAATGGATCAGCGAGTTATATTGTTGCGATGATTAACTATAAGTCTGGTTCGATGGACGGCGGTTTTCAGTAGTCTTTTTGTCGGATTACCTACTATCTAAATGATGTGTTATCAATTTAAGTCTATTTCTTTCAAAAAATAAATAAATTAAATATACCCGTAGTACTAAAATTCCAAATTACCCTTATTACTATACTCCCACCGTCCCTAAATTTACTTCCGCAGTACAAATGGCACACGGATTAAGAAAGTTGGAATTGTGTGGTGGAGAGTTGTGCACAGGAGAGAGAAATGTGTAAGAATTGTTGTGAACCACAAATTCTTTGCCAAAGGAAAGTAAAGTTCTTTTTGGGACGGACGAAAAGGGAAAGTTGGAAGTATTTTTTAGGGACGGGGGAGTAGAAACAAATCATCCTGATGTGTGGGTATCAGACTATCGCAAGAAGTGTGGGTATCGCTTAAAATCCTACCGGGGCGGTTTCAATGGCAGACTCCGACAAACAAAAGGTTTGAAATAACTCTCATCATAGGCTCACAGAGGTCGTGCGGCTTAATTTATTACGCCCTCCGTCCCATTTTGGTTGTCTTACTTTCCTTTTTAGGTTGTTCCAAAATGGATGTCATATTTCCCTTTTTTATAAGAAATTTTTGGTCCATATCATTTCACTTCATTATACTTAAATCTCAACCACAACTTTTACTTTTCAACCAAATTATTAATAATCGTGCCAATTTGAAATGAGACAACCATTATGGGATGGAGGTAATATGTTTAAAGCTTAATTTTTTCTTTTGAAAGAAACCACAAATCTTTAGTTGTGTGAGGTAAATGAGGGTGTTTGGTTGGGAGTCTATCAACCATTTTTTGGCTGTTTTGACTAATATTTAGCCTTTTGACAAGATGAAACAGCTAATAGGATGTTTGGTTACATAGTTTTTTCATTTGGCTTTTTTATCTAAACAGCCAAAAATAGAAAACCTACAAAACATGGGGCGTTTTGACATTAGCCGTTTTAGCAATCTCCTAATTTTCTTAATCTACCCACGCCCCTCCGCCCTCCCTCCCGTTTTGACATTAGCCGTTTTGTCAATAACTATACCAAATTGAGGTTCTGACGCTCTGGAAAAATAAATAATGGTCTAATGGATCAACTCATAAATACAAGTCAGTGAATTCATTCAAAATGAGTTGCTGCTAGTTTCTTTTATTTATTTATTTATTCCAATTTCTTCTAAAATTATGTTTTCGCTGTTATTTATTCCCAACGTTTTGTTTTTGCCTTTTATTTTACATTCAGTTATTAATTTTATATGTAGGCTGGGTCTCTAATCTACCTTATGGCTTAATACATTAAAAACAATGTTTAAAAAAACTAGTGCTTCTCTTAAAATATTTTTATTTTGTTGTAAATCATAAAAAATGTTTAATTAGTCGTGAAAATAACATTAACAAAATGTATATAAAAGTGTTTAGTAAATAAAAAATTAATTGATGTCCTTAAATGTCATTTAACAAGTTATCAGATGAACTCAAACAACTATTTAACCAAACAATGTTTTGCAAACTGCTAATACTATCAACTGATCAAAATAACTAACAGAATCCGCTATTATTAATCAGCCAACACAATCAGCCAACAGCCAACGGTCATCGGCCATTTGTCAAACACCCCCAATATAAACTTACTTGGCCTATTGTTTTTCACGTTATGTGAAGCTTTCCTTCAAAATAATTGTATCATTTGAAGCTAAAACATGCAAATTCAAATGAAAATGTATCGTTTGAAAATGCATGACGATGTTTTCTTTTGAGTTGTTTTCAATCCCAAAACAAATCAAACCAGATCAGACCAAACCAAAACAGATCAAATCAGATTAGATCAGATCAGACCAGACTTCTGTAGTTATAAAATACATAGGGACCAAACATTTATCAAATCAGACCAGACCAGACTAGACTAGATCAGACCAGATCAGACCATCAAATTTCAGTCTAAAAGAAAACATCCTTATTGATATTAGTGATGGTATAGAACATACAGAGTATATATTTTATAAAATCACTCAAAACATATACAAGTTTTTTCCCAAAATAATGTTAAATAAAAAAATTCCTAAAATAAGGTTAGGTTAAAAGTACTTCCGAAAATACTGCTCTCCTAAATCCTGAACCACCACTCAAAGTGCGGGCTTATGGAAAAATGAAGTGACGCACGTAACAAGCAACCAAAAGTAGAACATGAGATAGTGGTCCCACAAAATAAAATCATATTTTTATTTAAAGGGAAAAATAATTAAAATACCCCAAACTTTGAAAGGGTATGAGATAAACACTCCAAACTTTCAAATGTAATTTAAGTACCCCAAACTTTTTATAAAAAATTATTTTAACACCATGATTATGTATTATTTATTTCAAAAATGTAAATTTATGGTGTTAATTACATAATTTTAAATAGCAAATTGAAAATGTTGCTATTATATAAAGTGGGGGACAATACTATTTAATTTACAATGAAATTTTAGAATGTTAATTGTATCATTATAAATGGTAACATATTTTAAATTATTAATTACCAACAAATATTAACGTTTTTTAAAGTAATAGTACATGACCATGATGCTGAAATAAATTTTTATACAAAGTTTGGGGTATTTAAATTACATATGCAAGTTTGAAATGCTTACCTCACACCCTTCAAAGTTTGGGGTATTTTAATTATTTTTTCCTAATTTAAAAGTGACAAAACTTTTTTATTTGTACTCTGATTATTACAAAAAATACATCAAAATTCATAACTTTTTATTATCTTTCATATGACACCAATATTGAATATATAAAAATAAAAAAATAATTTAACACTTTAAAAATATCTTTTTTTATGTAAATGTTCTATCTTTTTTATTTGTACTCCGATTGTTACAAAAAATATATCAAAATTCATAACTATTTCTTATCTTTCATAAGACACCAA